GAGTCTCCTGTCTCACTAGAACAGGTCTGCAGTTATTACACTGTTCTTCTCAGTGATTGGCTGTAAGTAAAACTGAGGAAAGAGTGGCCTTTGTGATGGTAAATGCAGAGGGACAGCAGTGAGAAATCTGACAAGTGCATTTTCACAGATGCCATATCCGCATACAAGATAAAAATATCACTGTTTTCAATCCTGCTAGCCCTTTGTTCTTATTGAACCTACCATAAAGTAGCTTTAAAGTAGCTTTATGTCTCCTGGACCATAAATATGTCCTATTCTGCAAGTTCATATCTGTCTTCTATTTCATCCCTAATCCTGGGAGTATGAGTCAGGCATTTCAACTATGTTCCATTGAATTAAGTTTCCCTTCATCCTATTCTGTGAGCATCTCACTGAAATCAAACTCTCAGTAACTCTAAGAATTTCTTTTATTTTTCTATTCTTGCTATCCACATGTTTCCAGAGATAGTCATGTAACTATTTGACTTGGAATTACAAAACGTTATCAAAACTGGTTGAAGTTACTGATTTTGGAGTCTGATATAAGTGGGTTTCTAATTCTGACTCCATTGTTTACTACTCATGTCAATTTCTACAAGGTACATAACCTTTGTGCCTCAATTTTCTGACCTGATAAAGATAGTAATATTTTTCTTATGATATCATAGCCTTAGCATGTAGTACAAATAGTTACTTAATGAATGATAGGTACATTATTGATAACTTCAGTTAGGACTTACCATATGTTTGCCCCTTTGTCCCTACCCAAATCTCATATTGAATTGTAATCCTCACTTGTCAAGGGAGGGACTTGTAATCCTCATGTGGAAGGGAACTGATTGGATTGTGGGGCAGTTTCCCCCATGCTGTTCTTGGGATAGTAAATGAATTCTCATAAAATCTGATGGTTTCATAAATGGTAATTTTTCCTGCCATGCTCACATTCTCTCCTGTTGCCTTGTGAAGAAGGTGCTTACTTTCCCTTTTCCTTCCACCATGACGGTAAGTTTCCTGAGGCTTCCCAATCCATGTGGAACTGTGAGTCAACTAAACCTCTTTCCTTTATGAATTATCAAGTCTTGGGCAGTTCTTTATAGCAGTGTGAGAATGGACTGGTACAACTTTAACTTTTCTACACATTTCCATGTCTTAAACTCCTTATTAGATTTTCAGTGAGTTACTTTAAACCTAGTCCCATTGTTTCCAACTCAAGTTATCTTCAGACCACATCTTGTATGTTATTGGAAAATGACAGTCCATCACTTGTTTAGTATTTTTTCAGATCCTGCTGCATACCAGGACCTGTTTTGGGCATATAATGGTGACAGACCAGGTCCCCTCCTTGATGGAGATTACAGTCTGTTCTGTGCAATGTACTTTCTTTACTTCTATACTTTACACTTCAAATCTCTTATTTATCTTTACTTACATTTTCTGCCTCAGTCCCGCCTCAGAGTAGATTGTTATTATTCTTTTCCAAGATTAACTCAAATTCTTTTCTCATCTAGCTTTCCTAGAATCTTACTTCAATAACGATTTCTTGATTGACTGTGTCTTCAGTTTCTATCCCACTGGATCATCTTTTGCTTTGCAAAAAAAAAAATTCTCCCATTTTCTACAAAAGAAAAATACAAACAAACCTTTCATGTGAACTTGCCTCTAGCTTTCTCTTTTCTTCCTTCTGTTTTCACTTGGCTTTCATACCCACAAGTCTATTTAGATAGCTCTCTTTTAAATATGGCCTTCTATGCTCTTCTCCTAGCTATTATTTTCCTTGAAATCTGTAGCACTAATTATAAAAACATGTCTTCTATGACACTGCTTATATCCAGTTTGCCTTCTGCTTCTTTTCCCAATATGTCATTTTTTCTCTTAATTTCATTTATTCATTGATTTCAAATGGTATTTGTTGAGTGCCTGTTTCAAGCACTGAAATGCAAATCATAAAACAGAATAAACAAATAGAAAACAGAATTATAGAATTCTATGATTCTGTTTTCTACTTTTTTTACTAAAGCCTTAGAACTTTTCTCTTGGCTGACTTACCCACTCTAATTCCCAATTTATCTATTCAATCATAACCTTCCACCAAATTTTATTCCTATAGTTGTATTTGCCCTTGTTCCTTGGGTTCTATACCTATTCCTCAAACAGCACATTTATAAACAGATGTTATTGTATTCACCTCATCAACACTTTCTTCTAAATTTTGTATATTGGCTAATGTCATCATCTACTCCCGCTTTAAAATACAAACTTATCTTTGTTCCAACCCTTAAACCTATCTCTGATCTTTTATCCTCATTGCTATCATTTTCTTCGGTTACTTTACTTCTTCCCTGGAGTATCATAGTTAAGTCTCGACTTTTTTTAAGACCAATTTTCCAAATTTCTTAGTCCTGGTATTCAAACTCCTCTAAAAACTGTCTCAATCTTATTTTCCACGTAATCTTTCATTGTCCGGTTTTATGCCCTGTCTTTCTATATAACCTTCCCTACTTGTGATTTCCACTTTCACACCTGCTTGACCATATAAAGTCCATGCCTGTCCATGCAAATGCTTTCTGTTTATGTTAACTCATGGAACCCTTATCCATCTTTCAAGGTCCAACACAAATACCACTTCTTTAGATCCTCTTTATCCTTCATCCCTCTAGATATAACATCTCCTTCTGAAACACAGTAGAATACTTTCTCTTTCATTTATTTTATTTTGCGTTGCATCTCATTTCACTTATGAGATTTTGAGATCCTCACAGACAGAGGCTTGTGTCATTTAGGATGCTGACCATACCACCTTTTGAGAAGATCTCCCTCTCCAAAAGTGAGGATTTATCATTGAATTACACCAATGAAGGGATAAACTGTATATCCTGGCTGAAATATCCTCTTCAAGAAGACAAAGTAATTGTTATACATGCAGAATTTTCTCTTTCTCTCTTATCCATGTGTTATATTAAGGGAGAAACTCCTCTGAGCCAGGCATAGGAAGAGAGAGGTACCAGGTCATGAGGACACAGATTTTTCTCTGGGGATGTTTACTATAATGAAGGCTGATGCGGATGCAAATGGCTACAATGTAAAATAAACGAAAAATTAGGTGGGAACTTACATAAGAAAGATATTCCAAATATAAAAATTACTAAATGATAAATGGGTTTATAAGCATACCTTTGTGAAATATTCAGTATGAAACTTTAGAAAAATCAAGTAGATATCCTAATGTATCCTTGAGCATTAGTTTAGCAAACAGTGTTTTCTAGAGCAAGTCTCAAAAATTCTTAAATCTTGCAGAAATAGTATATTTACACTTCATAAAGCTACTCAGCCTTCCTAAATGTCCAGTTCGTTTGATTGGGCTGGAATTTTGAATCACAAGGTAATATAAGTTGCAATATTATAAACAAAGTTTGCTTGATAAGCAAATGCTTTAAAGACATAATGAAAAAGGATTCTGTATTTTCTTAAAAAAAAAAAAGTTCCTAATGAGCCATGACTGTGTTAGGGGTTGTGATCTTTGTTATAATCCATACATAGTATGTGCTTAGTATATATTGGCTAAACCATGACAGTTGGAGAGCCCATCTGTCTATGAAGTTCTATAAAATAAAGATTTTTAAATTTTAGCTTTGGAAAGAAAAGGCTAGTTAAACATAGAAGAGGGCATGCCTCTCCAGAAAATATTAAAATGTTCAGATGGGTAACATAGACATATTTTCTAAAACTTAATTGAGTTATGCAATATAAAATAATCAGGAGCTAAGTGATATTCTATAACTTTTAAATACTGATTTTACTTCTAGTTTTTCTTTTCTGTTAGCACTCTCTCCAGTCTAATTCAGACAGGAAAACTGGTACATTCTTCATGATTAGAAAGGATTCTTGTGTCATCAGGCCATGCTACATTAATAGTTTTTATAACCTGACAAGAGACCAAGTCATCATTACCTGGAGGGAAACACCTAAATCATCTGAAGATGGCTTTTAGGTACTTAAGGAGTTTAAGTTGACTGCTTTAGATACTAAGTCTCAATTCCCAGGTGGCAACAGTCAGGTTTGCTGAAAAATTGACAGTTTCCACCCTCTGGATGGGTCAATTATATTGGGAAATGTATAGGAAGAGAGCTTGTCAAGGAAATTCAAGGAACAAGGCTGTTATATTCTAAAGGGAATTCTAACCTAGTCCCCAGATCGAATCATAAATGCTTATGTTTTATGGTCATGTGCAAATGTGCAGAAGATAAAAGACAGAGCTAATGAAATAGCAAAGAATGGAAGGTGTGAGAAGAAAAAAATTCAGAATAGGCCTAAAACGATTGTATTTCAGCCTATCATTTGTTGAGATGAGAATAAAATACTGACTTGGGGAGCAATTTTGGTGGTGGTTGAAATTTTTTGAAACACTTCTTTAATGGTGATTCATAGAGTATGAGTATTACACTATATTCAAGTCCCAGAATTCTAGCAAATTATTCTAGTAACAAAACATGGAAATCGATTGTGTTGTTGCTGAACTGAACAGCAGTCCAGTCTCTGGCTTAATGATTCTGTATGTGATTCTTATGATTTTCTTGTAAAAAGAGACATCTTGCAAGAAATGAATTAAAAAGAAATGCAGTTGTACATTTTATACATGGGTATCCTTCCCTGAGCAAATTATGAGATTTTAAGTACAAGAACCATGTTTTATTAGATTTGTCATATATAGTGCTCAATAAAATGTTGATTACTCCTGAATTACAACTTATCATTTCCCTGAGATATTTTTTCTAGAGGACTTCCATTTTGTAGTTGTAGGTTTTACATAAAACTTTAAAATTCACAAGACAAAAACATGAAATTGTTATCTCTCAGTTGGAGGTTGTTTTCATAATACTTCTGTTTCTTAATTACTTTAGAAAATAGAATAGCATGAATGAAGTAGACTAGGTTTGATTAAAACAACTTTACAATCATGATACTATGTTGAAATTCTTTTTTAAAATTATTCTTTCCTATAGGGTGCTGCTTTAATAAGAATGCTGGCTAATTTTATGGGCCATTCAGTTTTCCAGAGGGGTCTGCAAGTAAGTAAAATGCTTTTTATTTTCTTTTACATTTTTCCTTGTCAATATATTTGTTTTAAGGACATTTCACAGCTTGGGAAATGGCTAAACAAATTGCTGAACTTGATGGAAAACTTTAATATGTGTAAGGTAATCAGTGTCTTTCTATATGACAAATGAAAGTTCTAGATAGGATACTCACTGTATTAACTGACAAAACTTAAACTGTTGAACAATTTAGAATCTGTTTGATATGTATTTTTAAGTTGAAGTAATTTAAAAATATGCCAGGTTCCAAATATTCTATAAAAGATGTTCAGAAAGACTGCCTTCTTTTTCTTCCATTTAAGATTCGAATAAGGTGAGAACAAATTATGTTAGCATTATTTGAATCATGCATTTGAGAAATCTTAAGGCTATTTTTCAAATATGTACCTTTTATGTTTTTGTTATTTTGCTGTTGATATGCCTAGATTGTTATTTGTTACAACGGTTTTTAATTTTTTATTTTAATTAAACAATGATTTTCTTTTAAAAGAAGGAAGAAAAAGAAATAGTTATACTGCATTTAGAATATAAAGTATAAATCTAAGAATGGGTTCTTAGAAAAGGGAAGATTATTAAACTTCTTAAAGCAGACACAAATATATATAAAAAAACTTTTATTCCATTCAATCTGCTGGAGTAAATCATGTTCCTAGTAGCTGTGATTGATGAATTATTTATGATGCATTCTGCTACTTAGAAGTGTCCTTTAAAGTAAATTGATGTTCACCTGAAATACAATTATGCTAAGACAGAGAGAGCAATCAATCTTATCTGTTCTTAGTAAGCTTTTCATTTTGAAATTTAAATAAACTACATCTGGGTCCAGGTCATATTTTAGTAGTATAATTCTATCTGTACCCCCAAATAAACTGAAAGATAAAATACAAGGTAAGTGTTAACTATGTTTGACAAACTCTCTATACTTAACACAACAAAAACTATACATATAAATGTTTTGAAGATAATTTCCCTCAGAAAATATTTTTACAGATTTGTTCCAGCAGGTTTTGAAATTTACTTTCATCAGCTCTTTCCATTAGGGACACCTTCAGAATAGGTGAATCCATCAAATCTATTTGCGGTATGTTAAAGGATCTATTCTGATCACATAGTTGCGAAAATCTTTTTTTTCTCAAGGAGTGCCTTTCATGAATATCAACTATCTGGAGGAATGTCCTTTCTTATCCCAATTCCTTTGTTTTTCCCCGTTGAAGTTGTAGCATGACTGTTTCAGAAAATATCTCACTGTTCATAAGGGTAACACAAATTGATTTTGATTTCTTCATAGCAAGTTGTTGTGAAATCATTTTCTGTTTAAAATTCTTATTGTTTTTCTTCATCTATGTTATGGATTTGCTCAGCAGATTGAATAACTACAGTTAAATTATTTGGAAAGGATTATCATTTTGCAACATTTTTCTTCATCCTGTCATACTTTCTATGGTGTGCAAAATGTATCAATTTTTAATACATTTTTTTCCACTGACCCAGTGTGCTCAGTTTTATATGAAACAGTTAGAATACACCTTCTGACTCACATCATATTAAACTTTCATTCCAAGCTTGCATTAATGTGTGCCTTTATGCTCTGATACTCGATTTGGTTAATTTTCAACTGAGGGACTATGTTTGTCAACATTGCATTTCATTTGCCTGATGACATTTCATTGATCAGATAGATCTGTATCCTTCAGTACTTTGCTTGCAGCTTTATTTATACTCATCACTCAAACTGATTTAGTGTATCATCAGCAGTTTGGATTAGTTTACAGTAGATCCCTACATCTAGGTGATAAATTATCATCTCTTGTGCATTAAGATGTATGGGATACATTTTGGAGATGACCTCCTGAACAGACACTTCATGTCATGGTGCTGAGTGGTCACAGAGTTGATATTAATATGCTTCCCATACAGAAGGCCTTGGGGAGTCTTGGTTTACAAGTTGTAGAAAGAGCTAATCTGGGCTGTTAGCACTTGCTTATGCTGAAAAAATCTATGAATTGTTTTTATATTAACCATGGCTATTTCCATGTTGACAAATGGAAGTTTATTATTTGCAATTTCAAATTGTGGATAGTGTGTTTCTCCTATATATTTTTAGTCTTCATTTTTTTCTTTTCTCCTTTCTTTTCTTTGTGTCTCTTACTCTCTTTTTTTTCTTTCTTCTGTTTTTTTCTGGGCTCAGACCTTAATCTTCATGTTTCACATAGGAATGATGTCTTAATGGTGTTTCTTCTTGATTTATTATCTACCTAAAATTTGTGTTCTCTTGCAATTTTATGTATCCTTATGACCCATCTTAAGGTCTTTTGGGAACGAGGCAAACTTTAAAAAAATACATACATGAATATATGTGTGTATATATGTATATATAATATAGAAAGGTAGGAGGTTTCCAGATTAGTTCATATTTATATTTAACTTATAAAGTATCAGTGTAGATTCAACTACAGTTTCAATTTTTTGTAATATTTTCTATGGAAATATATTTTAAATTTCAATTTAAATGTATTTTTTCAGCAGGAAGAGACTCTAGAGACTGTGAGAAAAAATTTGTTTCTAACAGTCATATAACCCATTGGATCAGCTATGAGAAAGTTTAGGAGAACAATTTCTTACTGCATAATCATGGCTTTTCTTGGTATTGATACATTTTGGTCTAATTCCTCTTATTTCTTGAATTTCATGTGGTGCTTAAACAATAAGCCTTAAATTAAAAAAATAAGTCTTGCACAGCTGCTCTCTTCTAATGAACTATCTCAAACTTTGAAAAATCAAGAGAAAGTATATACATACAAAAAATAATTCTTGATATCACCAACAAATTTGCTTCCATTTTAATGTTTGAAGTGAAAGTGGAACTGTGTTGAGCTTGAACATTTCTGTGGCTAGATTATGTATTACCAATGAATAATGTATATTTTTTAAATGAAGAAAAGTTTACATTTTTGCAAATTCTACATGTCTACTTTCTATGTAATTAATTTCTGAAAATGATAGTAGGCATATTTTGAGAAACTCGAGTCAATAGAATAAGTAAGGAGAAATAATTCATTTCTGCCTCCAATTAATAGTGATCTTTAATCACTAGACCTCTCTTGACCTCTGAATTTATAGTTATGAAATGTAAGAGTTCGACTAAATACTATAAGATTCCTTTTCTCTTTTATATTCTTTAAATCTAGGATTTATTCAATGCAGTTTTCTAGTTACACGATTTGGATTTGACGTATTTAATTTGGGCCAGCCATTTTAATTTGGTGGAAACATTTGTAAACTAGATATATATATAAGAGTGAGTGACTCCTTTTTCTTGAATCTTTAATCATTTGATTATTTAGACTATATAATATGACTACCTATATATAGAACTATAACTATAGTCAAACCAGAGCAGCATTTTTCTATCAGAGAGTTTTTGCTGGTAATAGTTTTATTTTGCTAGTATCAGGAAACTACTTCTATTTCTTTGGCTTTGATTTACTTGCTCACTTTTTTTTTCTGGCACTTACTTTCATAATTGTCTCTGGATACTTTACATTTTTGTAATTAAGCTACAGTGATTTTTAGATGTCATATGCTAAGAACTCTTGAAATTTCTTGATAATTTTCATTGTAAATGCCATCTTCTAAGGTTGGAATTTCTACTTGAACTCTTGAACTCTGCTGAAACCAATTCTACTTATTGGTTTGGCATTTAGGTATATTGGAGTTGGTTTGGAGAAGAGCCAGCATCGTCCTTGATGAGTGATGTTACACAGAACTCAAACAAGGAGAACTTACTTTTTCAGAGACATGAAAAGCTACTAAGGAGTCTCAGTGAAATTTAGACCTCCAAGGCCTGCATTCTGATTCTGCATCCTATACTTTCCTCAATACCCCAACTCTCACATAAAAGATCTAATAAATCCATTAAATTTATTTGAGTTATAATTTTGCCACTCAGAATTTTAAATCATAGTTTATTTGTTGGATATATTGATTCTAAGGTTGTAAGAGATACATGACTCTTAGCATAGTCATAAATCTCTGGTTCCCTGCCAAACCTTCAGCAGGTAATTTAAAGCACCAATATTATTGTTTGCTTTTTGTAGTCTCTCCAGTCCAGTCAGAAATAGCCTATCCTCACAAAGACTTTGTAATTCTTTATTCTGCCATAATTTTCTATTGAAAGAGTCATTTGTTTTCCCAAAGCTTATTCTTCAGTTTAGGAGATTATTGATGATCATTTAAGAAACTGTTTTGACCCTGAAAATGATTAATTATCGTGATCCTATCACTCATTACCAATGATATTAGCTTCTTTAAATCTAATCAAGGCAGGCAAACAATTGTAGATAACCATCTTTGAGGGTCTGCAATCACTTCTGGTATGTAATTCTGTAATATACTGAAACTCTTAGTAATATTTCAAGCAGAAAGGGAAATAACATTGGATATAGTAATTTTCTAAAACTGTTGGCAGGGTTATGCAAGTAGAGATCAGGAAAGCCACTGCCAGCCTTCTGGAAATATAGAAATTTGAGTTTCATAGGGAAGTAATACACATATTCTCAGCTGCCTAGAGTACCACTGAAAGCCACTGGCTCTAGTTTACCCCTGCCTTCTGCCAAAACCCACATGCCTGCTCTCTACTATCTGAGCAATGACAGCTCCTCCTTCTTTACTACCACCCATATCTTTTATGTCTGCTTTTCATTTTTCAGAACATAAAATTGAGCCTAACTAGCAAAGAATTCTTGGAAATGTAGCATTCAAGCCTCTAACCCATACAGTGCACAAGAAGGTGGTTGGTAGGGGAAGTGATGGTGAATGGCTAACAGTCTGACACACTTAACCTGTAAATGTCTTTGTTCTATTGAATAAATTTTATTTGCATTATTTTTATGGGTTGTTTTATTACCATATGAATATTTAAAAAGTATTAACTTCTTTATTCATCTCTTCCTTAATATTGTATTAAGACAATA